ATACTGAGTCACTTGGTTCCGGGATCACGTGTTCACGTGATCCCACAGCTTCCCATCCCCTTTACGACTAAAATTCGCTGAATTCCCCAAATTAGTAACAGCCGGTCACAGTGTTAGCTAAAGCATCACGACACATGATGAAAGTGCAAAGGGAATTGCAATGAATTTGACTATGTCAATTATTTGTAAAGCTCTTTATTATTTATCAAAAAACTAGCGAGTATACATATTGAATTTTAAGAATTGGAGGAAAGAGAGGATAGAATAATTTTTAGAATAGAAATAATATAAAGCATCTTTTAATAATATAAATGCATCTTTTAATAATGTGAATGCATAATTTAATAATGTAAATGTATCTGTAATAATATAAATATTTAATAATAAGAATACATCAAAATGATTATATTGTTCACATCAATAAAATTCGATTCTCTGTCTTTGAATTCTTCAATATTTTGATCATCACTGTTTCCTTCACTTTCTCCACTGTTCATCCTGTCATCACCTTCAGATTTACCAATTCCAACATCAGGATTTTTATACATCAATAATTAAAATAAAATAAAAAATCTTATACTAATACATCATCATAAACTTTAAAATATCTTAAGTCTTTTTCTTTAAATTTGGGATTTCTATTCATTTGATTTGCTTGTGAGAGATAGAAGCATCTTGTGCTGATACGCATTTACATCTTTCCAAATCATTAGCATAGTGATATAATTTTGATTGCACAATATCATTGCAATGCCATCCAAATACCAATTATGCGTTGAATTAATAAGTTCATGTATGCATAAAAAAATTTTTCTAATTTGTAAAAAAAATCGATTGATTAGATAATAGAAAATATCTTTTGCTCCAAAAAGAAAAAGAAAGTGTAAAGATCAAATTAGAGAAATGAATGGCAAGTATAAGTCAAAAAAAATGGATTATACAAATATGACTTATGGTGAATTAGAGACAAATGAAAGAGAGTGGAGTAATGGTAAATTAGAAACGAGTGAAAGAGAGTGAGGTGATAATGATAATAGTGGATGAGATGATCTGAAGGATATGGAAGCTGAAATTAAGCTTTATCAAAGATTAAAAAAACTTGACTTAGTATGAAGAAACAATAGTCAATTAGAAAAAATGAAATGAAGATTATATATGATAGGCAAAACATCAAAGTCAATCTATTATGATAAATATAATTCAAATGGCTCATTAACTAAAGCAGCAGCTGGCACCAAAAAAATTATAAGTTTTTTTTAAATTAGTAATATCCAAGTTACCGATCCACAATTATCTAAGCCCAACGTATTAGAAGATGCTTCAAGTGATTCAGAAAGTGAGATTATTAATCTGTACACTTATCAAATACCTGAAAAAATAAAAGAGTTAAAAAAACATTTAGAAAAACATGCTCAATTAACTATCTTCAAGTATAATAATAAAAGAGTCATTTTTGAATATCTTACCTTGTTAAATGCTAATGATAGCTGTGAAAAAATTGGTATCAGTTTAGAGATCACCCAAAAAATTTTTATTGATAGTGATGTGTGAAAAGCATAAAAAATTCAGAATCTTACAAAGTACTGATTACTTAATAATAAACTTCCAGCATTTCGACATGGAAAACACCAAAAAATAATTAGAGTAATTGATGATGAAAATGTTGCAGAAAGATGTCATATATCAGGAAATTTTTTGGGGCGATATTCATCAAGAATCATCGCCATATCTGTAAAAATCAATAAATATCTCTCTGAAATATTGATATTAATCGATGACTCCAATGATCTTTGATAAACATCCATATTGATATATAATAATATATTGATCATTATTGCAATATATTATTTATCGTTAATAAACGATATATGTTAATAGTTAACTTAAATACTTGTTTTAAAACTAGTTTATCACATTAATATCAGTTTGGATTATATAACCTAAATGAACACGCTGTTATGGTCTGGAATTATCCTTAATTCCTTAATTTCTTAATTCTGATCATGTGACTCAACATAGATTGTAGAGATAGCAGAGAT